CCTTAATTTCTTGAGATAAAGAATGTCCAATTCCCAACTTTTTAAATCGTAAGTTTTTTCGTTGGATTTATGTAAGTTTGAAGCGTGAATGGCAGAGTGGATATAAATTATGGAAGACTGGAGCTTCGCATGCGTGAGCGATTATTCGAATCGCCTTCGGTTGAACAATATAAATGAATATCGATCAACTAGCCACGACCTTGGAGGGATAAAACGTCGTAATAAACATGGCTAACACACCCTACACTTTTATTATTCGCTGGTGCTTCGCGCGCATTGAACAACAACGTTAACGACATACCGATCATCCGTGAGCCCATCGCCTTTTACTTTATGCTCAAATTGCGCAAGTAGCGTTATCGTATAAAGGATTATACCACGCAATGCAATAGAAAAGTCGATATCGAGGGACATAAAACGGAGATTATTATCGTAACGATATCACTTCATAGAAACGTGAAAGCGATACTAACAGAAACGCACTGTCATATCCATAATCCATATACCTACAATGCATATATGTATATTCTGAAAGTTGTTAATGATGGTCTTCGTTTCTGGACTGTTTAGACGAAACCAGTAGCGTTTTCTGTACGAACTAACGTGAGCTACGACGGATCCATTGACGATGACTCGCCGGTCCATGGCTCGGCTATCAGCTTCGAGGTCCGCGATTTTCTGCACATCAAGGTACGTCCGACCTTATCACTAATTAAACTGCATACTTTCCAAAGTTTCCAAGCTTTCTTTTCTCGCTTATTTTATCACAAAGGTTAAGAAGAGAAGCTCGGAGCTTCTGATAGTTATTGACCTACGCACAAACAACGGGCAGTTAACTATCTGATGTAATGAATCGTCGTCTACCTATCTTCAGGAGAAGTACGACCACAACTGGTGGATAGGTAGGCACGTGAGAGAGAACGCGGACGTGGGCTTCATCCCGTCCCCGGTTAAATTGGAGGCCCTCAGGCAGCAGGCGAGCGCCGCGCGTGGCACGAAGGGTCTCTACTCGGCGCGCGGAGGCTCTTCAGGGAACCTTGGCGAGAGTGGTATGCCCTCACGTGGTTCCACACCACCTACACCAGGTATCCTAGCACGTCCTTCTTTCTTTCCGCCCTCCCCGAAAATCGCCGGGTCCGGTACCGACCTGTTCTCCGGGAATTCTTTCATCCCGGGGACCGACGGTGAAAACAGACGGAGGGGAAGATCTTCGCCTGCCATGCAATACAAAAAGAGAGCGAGAAAATAACAAAGAAATACAGGCAGGAAACAATGATAGAGATAGAAAAATTGAAAAATTCGTTGTTGACACTATATGTATATGTATCCGAACGAATACCAACACTCCTAGTACCTTTGGTTTTCTCCCACCCACGCACACCTGTCCGTGAGCTTCTCTTTTACTTTCTTACCTTCCTTTTCTCCCGCTTCTAGTTTCGGGGTGTATACTCGCCTAATGGGCATTGAGTTTTGCGATTTAGATTATAGGGAGTTTGTTCTAGTTGATCTTGCGTGGGTCATTGAGAAATGTTTATCCTAATTAAATATTTACATGTTCTATTTAGAACTGAATTAATCTATTTATTTATTATATTTTAATATTATTACATTTTATCCTTACTTGTTTTATTATGGTACTATTTTGTTTTCTCTCACGTCGTAAACATAATCTTAATACTTCAAAAATTTTCTGAATGACCCAAGCGCTGTACTTATCTATCTATAATACTGTCATGCTTTGTATTATTGTGTAGTAGCAGATCTCATCTCACTTATTGCACACAGTTGAAATAGTCTACGTATAAACACACTGATACAATCAAAATATTGTCACACACATTATATTGATACACAAACACACGTCCATTGGCATACATAAGGAAAATATTGAACCAGCAAAATGATAATTTATTTACGTATTGTGATAGACTATGAAAAAATACTTTCAATAATATAAACGAAATTATAAATTATTAAATTATTATAACTTGTTTGAAGGTAAATTAATGACTTTTACACCCAGTTGTATAAATTTCAAAAATATATTTTATCTAGTAATTTCCATGTCGTACGGGTGAGAGCAACCCTCAACGACGATGCAGAAAATAGTTTTCGAGTTATTTCATAAAGTATGTTTTAACTTTGAGAGCCGCTTTCGTTCCTCCAGTGCAGAAATTAGCACGTAAAAGAAATACATGTCAAGTGTGTTCTCGGAAACTACATCGCACTCGAGTTTCATAAAAAATCGGAATACCGCAAGTTTCACGATGCAGAATAAATTCAGCAATAAAACTGTATCATTACAGAATGAAAGTACAATGTTTGCACGTAAAACGTAAATTAACAATGGTAAGAAACTTTCCATATTTTACTACAGTATGTAAACAAGTTATCTCTTTGCAAGAGAGTCATTGGATCAGTTTCACCCCTTATTGTACATACACACCTACAAAATTGGTGTTCTCGCTATAAATGAATGTTCTTCAGTAGTTGCTTCCACAATCTACGAACGCCACATCGGCGCATTGATTCTTAACTCTTGCAAGGAATACTAGCAAATTAATGAGAGAATCGCACAAAAGATTTTATATCATTCTAAGGTATACAACGTAAGGATCTCGTAAATTTACATCAATTCATGATTGTATTAACTTTTAATTTACACTCTCGAGATCTTTACGATGTATACTTTGAAACGATACACAAAATTTTGTGCAATTTCGCGAGTATTCCTTGTTAGTATTTTTCAATTTCTTTAGTACGCATTCGATCGCTTTTTACTAGTTTTCTTTGAGAGAAAGAGGGACACTTGTCGATGCACAACAAACGCGCGAATCGTAACAGATATCAGGACTAATTCTAGGTGAATTTTTTTCGACAGGTGACGATAACGATAGCGTGCGCGGCGGCAAGGCAACGCTGACTACACCACCGGCCAAGGAAAAACGAAAGAACTTCTTCAAAAAACCGGTAAACGATCTCACCGAATCACAGGGTCTGTGACTACACAAATCCTTCTCTGTGTATAATAGTCCGACACGTGGTGCTTGATTCTCTCTCTTGGATTTAGCTTAGTAGTCTAGAGCTCGAAATTATGTATAGTGTAGTGGTGGCAAAGAGTCTCGTCCATGTTGCCCGAATTTATGGCGAGAGGGACGATGTATACGGGCGCTATTTTGCGACAATTAACATTTTTCGTGAATTTAGCAAAGATTCGGTACTCGCGATAAACTTCCGTGACGTGGACGAGGATTTCGAATCTAAATTTATCTGCCGGTGTTAGAAAATATCACGCGACCACGTAAGAACTAACAAATTCTGTGAATTTGCGGCTGTATACGAGCCTGCGAGACATCGCGTACATTTATTACATAAAGAACAAAAAATTGTAGAAAGTAAAATGTCCATTTAAACTAAAGTCTTAATCAGTTTTATCAAAGATTCTAATAGTAACTGAATACAATAATTAATTTTTAATTAATCGACCATTGAATCTTTGTTTAATTCAGTGCCAATAATATTTTCTAGCATCGACTGATAAGTAAGTACTAATCATTTGCTCTTAGAGGACCATTATATCAACTCTCAAGACGAGGATAAGTCGATAATGTCAGGTACACAAAGCCGAAAAATCTCTTTGCTGAAAGTTGTTCACGGTGACACAGTAGAATAGAAATCGAGCAAAGTTGGTTTAGTACGTAGGAGATCGTTGATAGCTTAGGTCGATCAGTAGTTAAACGAATGTACACTGCTTGGCCAAAGCGGCTTTGGAAGCTAAGGATAATTAGTAAGACGTAGCAAGACGTGACCCCGAAAAGCACTTTGGCCGTGCAGGAGGGTAGGTCGCATGTCTCGAGTAGCACATGACCATTAACAGTTTTCAATGTTTTCAATGTTGCATTCCGTGCTCATGAAGTCCTACGTAAGTGAGACTTATCCGGGGACTGATCCCAGCGAGCAAGACCTTTTCTCGATTAATCCGCATTGACCCGTCCCTCGCAATTTCAGGAAATGACCGTGCCGTATGACGTTGTACCATCCATGAGGCCTGTCGTCCTAGTTGGTCCATCATTGAAGGGTTATGAGGTGACGGATATGATGCAGAAGGCGTTGTTCGACTTCATGAAACGTCGGTTTCGAGGCAGGTCTGTGATGACCAATCTAATTACGAAGCGCAATGCATTCTAAACAAGTTTCGTGCAAAGAGTTAATCTCCTGTTGTCTTTATGATTGCAGAGTAATTATTACTAGAGTAATGGCAGATATTTCATTGGCGAAAAGATCGTTGCTGAACAATCCAACGAAACGAGCAATCATGGAGCGGTCCACCAGCAGAAGCAGCTGTTTGACGCAAGTCCAAGCAGAGATGGAAAGAATTTTCGAGCTTGCGAAGACTCTCCAGGTACTGTACTGTTCTGTTCATTGTAATCTCATAAAGAAGACTTAATAATTATTAAACAAATATTAATATATAATTTAACGATCCCATTTGCAGTTGGTGGTCTTGGATTGCGATACCATCAATCATCCCTCGCAATTAGCAAAGACCAGTTTAGCGCCAACGATCGTCTACCTGAAGATCTCGTCACCTAAAGTGCTCCAAAGGTTAATCAAGTCGCGTGGCAAGTCGCAATCCAGACACCTAAACGTACAAATGGTGGCTGCCGAGAAACTATCTCAGTGTCCACCGGATATGTTCGATGTGATCCTCGACGAAAATCAGCTGGACGATGCCTGTGAACACGTGGCCGAGTACCTCGAAGCTTACTGGCGAGCCACCCACCCGGTGATCCCGGCTGTGCCTCGTCCGATGCCTGCAGCGGATGCGCCTGTCGACGCGCTTACACCTCGCGTCACATCAGGTATTTCATCAATCAAGCTGCGTCAATTACACACTGTCTCTATATATTTATTTGTCTATATATGTTGATTATCAATCTCTATATACTCTCATCGACGATCACGTAGAAGAATGTTTCCAAGTACAAATATTCTACGTTTCATTATTGCGGAGAATGGCGTAATTAGATTTCGCACGTTTTACCAGGGTGGAGTATTTGTATTTAATCCATTTGAGTCGCAAATGGTATTACGACATATTCTAACTTTGAGTACATAAGAATTAGTTAGAACAGATCGAGGACACGATTGACAGGATATTTCAACAGGATCACGAATCACAGTTCTAACATAGAATTTATTGACTCCGATGATCGCGACGTACCATTATCATTATTTCTCGTCCACGATTATTGTCAATCCTTCTCTTATTTACTCAAGCCTAACTGGCTGGGTCGAGGTTTCTCACTTGAAACTCTAACGAACCCCAATTCCGTTAACTAACACTCGACACTTCTCACCTCTTCAGGTGTCCATCATGAGAGTTACTACGGCCACGAGCCAAGAGGTAACCCAACCTTATCCCTCGAGTACAACATTCTACACACGTTCCTTTTTCCTTTTTTGATTTGAATTTATCGTCGCGCAGTTTGTGTTCCGTTACTCGCTTGACCAATAGAAATGTGTAATAGAAAAGAATCCACAAAAAATTTTGGGTAAAGAATTTTTTTCAAATACTTTAAGGGGAACATTGTCTAGCGATTTATTCATGTTTACTTACTTTTATTCGGCTCGTTTTACGACTATAACATTTATCGACTACTGATGACATTCGAAGTTAGTAATGAAACACGTCTGTAGTCAGTTCGTATCCATTAGCTGCACGTAGTCGTTGCATGGATTCGTGTTAGACTGCAAAGGCTATTTTTACTGGAAAGACTGCTAGTCGCTGGTTGTAATTTATGCATACAACCTTGTAAATTATTACGTTACATTTGATGTACATAGCACACCCTTCTTCGCACCATTACTATAATGCATGAATGACGCGCGAGAAAGTTGGACGTAATCTCATTTCTAATGAAAATACTTCGTTCCACTTTTCGATCGACTCAGCGTTCTTCAAATTAAACTCCCTTTTACCCGTTTCCTCTCTTTTCCTTCCGTACAGTTATTTTCATGCAAAATTTTACAAACATAACTTTATATCGATGATGTTGTTTCACGTATTCCATCAGGTATAGTACATAAAAACTAGCAGTATTTTCGAATGTGCGAAAAGAATACACGTGCAGATACATACTAGCGCAAGAAGCACGGCACCTTCACATTGAATTTCTTTTCAGTGACGATATATGGATCGGCAAACTTGTACCAACCACTGCAAGACAATGGCGCGTTTGCTCTCGTTAGTTTCAACCACGTTTTCATTTTGTTTTCTTTGTTCATCTCCTCCTCCTTCTTCTACTCTACGCTCTACCAGAGAAAAACAACACTTCCCTTTCAACGTTCACCCCGTTTCATCTCTACAATCGTTTATTTTAGCTGCAACTTATCACGTGCACGCTATGCTCTGTCTACTACGCTCTGACACAAGTGGATTTGTCCGTGACGTCTGCCGACGAGCATTCATTGAAAATTTCGATGGTTGTCGAGAAATAAAATCACTTAATAATGCATCAGTGCACGAAATAATTAATGTTCAAAAATTTTATTAGTTAGGGACTGTTCACGTTAAAATCCACAAGTGTACACACGGTACGCCAAATTAACGCTACATAAGAAGCTTGTTGTTGCCTATGTCTGTGCATTCTACTTTATTTTTTTCTCTCTTCTCATCGTAAAATTCTTTTCATTTCGACGGATCACAATAATCTGCATAATAATCTTCAAACGACGACAGTACACGAAACAACGTGTCGATTTCACATGGGAATCACTGCCGGTAGTAGGAAAAGAAACGAAAAAAAATGGATAAAACAAAAATCGCGATGTCCGGGTAGGATGCGATCGGCAATCAGCTCTGACTCCGATGTTCTCTTTGTTTACGTGTAAAAGCCGTGGAGGCGGTAGCTGCCACGGGAGTCATCCGAAAACAGGGCCAGGTCACGTATGGTCGGGGTGGTGAGAACAGGCCTAAAGAGTCGAGCTAAAAGCACGCTCTCGCAATCGACGACCTAGGCTCGGGCCTACCGACCAACACTCTTCCACACTTCCTCTTCATCGCTGATGAGATTTTACGGCTGACCAATTGTACTACTGTATCGTCGTATCTCCTCTAATTTTGAATAGACGAGGGGATCGAAATGACGATTCAGAGAATTTAGAGACTGTGTTAAATAGAGAAGCCTCCTTAACGAGGCCGCGTTGTAAGTACAGAAGGATTTGGTGCATGGGCCCGATAATACGGGACCTACTTTATTCCACTTGCCCAAACAGAAGGATTTATTCGTTTTAACTAGTTGGTTCAGTTTTATTCACCTTTTATGTTCCTCACGAGATTTAATTTTCTTTTTTTGACTCGGTGCATTCTTGCGGACGGTTTTCCTTGTTTTGCGGTGAGATTACGTTCTCGTTATTTGTTCTTTTCCAATATTATTCTTTATTTTGTTTTTGGTTGCCTCATAAGTCCTTCGCCAACCCTTCTCACATAGAATAGGATAATAGAATAGTCTAACGAAACATTAACGTGATATGGTTATTAAAATCGAGAGGACCAAACGTTTAAATCCGAAAGACTGTAGTACATCCGATCATGCGATTCATTCGAAGAAATTCCAGAATGTTTGAACAGATCTTCGAAATCCTTCTTTTGGACATTAGCTTGTTTGTGTTTGCCGTTTATCCTTTGTTATTATTTTACTTTATTTTATTTTTGAAAAACCATTCTGAGACTATGTCAACCCGGAGGAGGTTTCACTCGTCGACATTTCATTGTACGCGCAAGACGCATACGATATCTCGAACGTCGGAGTCTTTGCAAACCATGACTTTTTCCTCTCGTTTTTCTTTATCTTTTTTTCCACTCTCTATTCTTTTTGCATAGCTAGCTTGCATGCGTAGTGAGTTGCGTGACGTATTTCGATATTCCCATGTGTGAAACGCAAATGCATTTAATAATTAACTAAGTATAGTATAAGTGAAATAACGTTCCCATAGGGTTGAAATTTTTAACACTATTTGAGATGAAACTGGAGTATGTAAAATTCGGGAAGGACGAAAGAATTATGATCAACTTTATAAATGAATACTTAGTCTTAAGTCAAATTAACAATTCACAACTTAGCTTATGTAATTCATGTGTTGTAATTAATGCTTCCGAATTTTACGATTTTCTGAAGAAAAAAAAATAGAGTTATCTGTAACGTTTAATCCAAAAAATTTATAGGCAATCGTCGTAGGTATGGTATATGTTACAGAAACTCGACTCCACTTTCCTATTCATGTATGTCGACATTTGTATAATTATTATAAAATTAATTTGAATGAAATTCAGGATCCGGCTCGTACAGTGGCGGACACGTGAGCGAGGGAACCCGAAAATCGCGGCTGGAGAGAATGGATCGCGAACGGGGCGATCGTGAACACGACTACGGGACCGAGGAGGAATCGTACGTTGGTGATTACGGCACGGCATCGAGGCGTCGCCAGCAGCAAGATCCACGCGCATTGAATGCCATTTAGGAGCTGGGGCCCCAGGGCCAGCGCTGTCCCCACCTGCGCACCACTGCTCTTTAGTGGGGGTCGCCACTTGGTACGCTACTGAACGTACGAAACGTGCTTTTACGCTACCGTAGCGGAGAATATTGTCGCTCTGGTCTGTTAGTGGGGTTTCTTTCCTGTCGCTACCCGTAAGACGATTCATACTTTTGTTCTCGATTACTATTGTATTAGCTAGTCGAACGTTATTAGACTATCGCCTTTTGTTACAGTACGTGAGCCTCGGCGTACGCTGTTCCGGAGGTCTCATACAGAATTTAGTTCTTACCTTATTTTCTTTGTTAACATATAGGAGCCATGAATTCTAAAGCAATGCCGATTCAACATTCTAGGACAGTGTGCTTATCCTCTGTAATTTTTCTTTAATGCCCTGAATTCTTACACGTTCACTCATTCATAATACATTTTTATATGAAACCAGGAACTTATTGCGTTTTGGAATTTATGGCTTTAATTTGCAGTCAGTCTTGTAAGATCTACTGCATTGTTGTAATGAAAGAAGCGTGCACGTTCGTCTGGTTATCAGAAAAGTATACGTACTCAGTAGTCCATACAGCAGAATACGTTCAATTAAAATTTTATTTTCATTTACTTTGTGCTGTTCGTTATTGGATTATGGAAATAGTGAAGTAACTCTTGCACGCTGCCTGCGATGCGTTAACTGTTTCCTGTTGCAACTTATCGATACTGCGTACGTGCTTTCTGAGAGAAGTAAGAGTTAGAGTGAACTAGAGTTTCCTGTCAGTTTTTGTTATTTTTCCTTTCGTTGATTCCAAAGTATATGCGTAATCATTGTAACGGAGTTGTCCACGATGACGGAGACATGTAGATTCTATTTTCGTAATTTAATTAAAGAGGTCTTGTTGATTTCGTAAGGCAATCGTTTCGACCATTTCGATAGAATCAAAGCAAGTAGTTATCCTTCTAGAAACCCGTTAACGTCGTTGTCAGGCATATGGAGTAAACGACTTTTTCTGTCCTCCCTCGTTTTACAGAATTATGTGACAAATTGCAAAGCGTTCACATAAACGGAGAGCATGCGAGAGGGAAAGAAAGGGAAGGGTGTGGCCACCGATAGCTATCACGAGCATTAATTTCCAACGGGAATTCCGCAAAACGGGATGGGCGGAATAAAATTGATTAGTGATTGTCCTTGACGATGAGGTACGCACAGGATAAATCCCCCATTCGCGGAACCAGCTCAACGAGATGTGTAAACACGATAAGAGTTGTCACGTGAACAAATCAAAGAAACATACAGTAGGGAAAAAGAAGAAAGAACTAAATGAAAGAGAAAGAGACAGAGAGAGAGAGAGAGAGAGAGAAAGAAGGATTAAGGGAGAGAAAGGAAAAGAGCCCTGGGGCCTTAATTTTTGCGCTGATTCCTCCTGGGCCCCTATACCCACCCCACAAGATGCATCAGACTCTAAGATCGATGAGTCATCAGCCAGCTATAAAGAGAGCTCGTGAATCGGCATCGGGTCTTTGTTAAAACAACACAGCACTAGATCTTTGCTCGAAATTAGGATAGACGATCGTTCAGATCAAATGAAATGGAAAAATAAAAAAAAAAAAAAAGTAAAAGCAAAAAAGGAATCATGAAACTTCGACAAACGAATTTCGCGTAGAATTCTTTCAATTCGGCCGACGAGAAACATGCGATAGTTGCTTCGACTTTAGGAAGAAATAATGAAGAAACAAAAAAAGGATCGGGAGTCGCTCTAGTCGATTAATCGTTAGTCTCGATTGCATGAATAAAATTTTATTATAGAAACTTAGGGATCTCGCGGCGTGTTCGTTTCGCGGCGATCTCATGATCGAGCACGATAGAGAAATTTGATGAGATGGAAACGAATTACAATGTGAGTGGCGATGGGGTATTGGGATCAGGTAACCATTTACCTTTAGTACTGAAAGTTTTTGATTATCGACACGATGACGCGTTGATGATCGCCGCCGCGCTAGGCTGACGTGTTTATACGTTTTATTAGAGTCTATTTCGTAAAGAAAGCCACACGCATGCACATGTCTTACATGTGCACGGACAGACGTGTACAGGACACAGTCATACATGAAACACACTAAGAAACACGGTTGGTGTATATAGTATACATACATAAATAATAATGAATATACATGGTGTCCCATTTTAATTGATCCAGGCGAATATCTCTTTAGGGAATCGTTCAATCGAAAAAATAATCTTTCGATAAAAAATAATCTTTCGATTGAACGATTCCCTAAAGAGATATTCACCTGGATCAATTAAAATGGAACATCCTGTATATGTATAAATATATTGTATACGTATGTAGAGAGAGAGAAAGAAGGATTAAGGGAGAGAAAGGAAAAGAGCCCTGGGGCCTTAATTTTTGCGCTGATTCCTCCTGGGCCCCTATACCCACCCCACAAGATGCATCAGACTCTAAGATCGATGAGTCATCAGCCAGCTATAAAGAGAGCTCGTGAATCGGCATCGGGTCTTTGTTAAAACAACACAGCACTAGATCTTTGCTCGAAATTAGGATAGACGATCGTTCAGATCAAATGAAATGGAAAAATTAAAAAAAAAAAAAAGTAAAAGCAAAAAAGGAATCATGAAACTTCGACAAACGAATTTCGCGTAGAATTCTTTCAATTCGGCCGACGAGAAACATGCGATAGTTGCTTCGACTTTAGGAAGAAATAATGAAGAAACAAAAAAAGGATCGGGAGTCGCTCTAGTCGATTAATCGTTAGTCTCGATTGCATGAATAAAATTTTATTATAGAAACTTAGGGATCTCGCGGCGTGTTCGTTTCGCGGCGATCTCATGATCGAGCACGATAGAGAAATTTGATGAGATGGAAACGAATTACAATGTGAGTGGCGATGGGGTATTGGGATCAGGTAACCATTTACCTTTAGTACTGAAAGTTTTTGATTATCGACACGATGACGCGTTGATGATCGCCGCCGCGCTAGGCTGACGTGTTTATACGTTTTATTAGAGTCTATTTCGTAAAGAAAGCCACACGCATGCACATGTCTTACATGTGCACGGACAGACGTGTACAGGACACAGTCATACATGAAACACACTAAGAAACACGGTTGGTGTATATAGTATACATACATAAATAATAATGAATATACATGGTGTCCCATTTTAATTGATCCAGGCGAATATCTCTTTAGGGAATCGTTCAATCGAAAAAATAATCTTTCGATAAAAAATAATCTTTCGATTGAACGATTCCCTAAAGAGATATTCACCTGGATCAATTAAAATGGAACATCCTGTATATGTATAAATATATTGTATACGTATGTACGCAGTGAACACTTCCACCTTTATCACTCGACAGAATTCCATACGATCGAGATAAACAATGAGAGTGAATGGGAGAGTAGAGAAAGTGAATGAAAGAGGGAAATGATGCTCTGCTATAGAATCAATAGACAACGTGTAAATATTGTACGAATCCTTTAAAAGAAAAATTAATTCCCTTCCGTATTCGATTTTCTCGTCGTCGCCGCAGCGATGACCACAGTACATGTTTGTGAGTTCCCTCATTGCTTTCTTGATTTAAAATACTTTTGATCCTCGTAGTCAAACGCAGATCGGAGACACTTAGGAATTTTGCTGCAACTACGATACGAGAAACGTATTTACTGGTTAATGGATTCAATGTACAGTTACATTCATAGACATACACACATACAGAACATTCACACACACAGACACACGCATTTAATTACGATACCGATGACAGCGATCGCGAATATCGGCACTTTTTAGTAGTACGTGTCAACATCGTGTTTTAAGTAGAACGAATTAATCTCAGGCACGCCGTTGTTTGTAAATTATAGCTTTGCGACTCGAATTCTTATTAAGCTCGTTATTTGTTCGCCGGTTGAGATTGGCGCTGGAAGATTATATTGGCTGTTGTGCGTACGAAGAAAGTTACACGACAATCTTCGTGCAACGTAATTAAACAAATATTTAGATGTCCCGGAAATATCCGTAAAAAAAGAAAAAAACGTTTTCACTTTAAGTATTAGATAGGTATTTACGCGGAGATCAATCTTCGCTGAGTCTTGACTTGCTGTGTGTCAAGAGTCTACATACGCCCATACAAATTTCTATTAATATTTACAGAAATACATAAACGTATATATCTTTGGTAATATATCATTTCTTTATGACAATCGTATATTGTTTTAAGAAGACTAATTGGTTAATTTCCAAATAAGATGGTTTTGAAAAATTTGATGTCCTGTACAGGTAAATGTAGACCCTTGAACAATTTTTATTGGCGCGGCGTGCCGCACCTGATAATTTCGCTTGTCGAAGATTTCACTTTTATCTTTAGAGAAATTTTTGTAATATGGGAAAAGAAGTGAAATAGGAACAGCAACAAGTTGTTTCGAAGTCGAAATGTTTAACGGATCGTTTGAGCATTGAGCAAGGAACGATTCTAGTCGAGTGTTATCGACTGCTCGAATTTATTGTCGCTGGCTGTAAAATCCACTTTACAGCCGATGATTTTGTAAATACTAGATGAAATATATTTGCAGGACACACGATCACTGAATGAAGTCTATTTAAAGATAATCACGCTTCCACTTCAGCGTTCGGCGAGTTTACTTCGAATAAGCGAGATGCGTGCGTTTTACTTTTCAAACTTGAGAAACGAATACACGATAGTGCATACGCGATAGTCACAGTTTCTTTCGAATTTTTATTCTTCTTGTACAACTGAAGCAGTTTGTATGAAAATAGCGTTATTGTTGCACGCGTGCTCGATTATTTCAACAGATCTATCTGCTCTTAAGATTATAACTGCGAATAGCGTTGAAACGGTTAGGCTAATCGATTTAAAAATTTGCAGCAATTTTATTAACTACTTTTTCTAGCGATAGACACTTTTTTATGATGTATTGTCTAAAATCTGAAGCTCGATGGGCAGCGATAGAAACCCACATCACGCAGACCTGGAACGATTTATGTGTCTCGACACTGGCACAGACACACCACTACACACGAATGATGTATGCGATTTTTCAGAATCCTTCGATATTTCTTACGATTACGATCCTTGTAGCTACTGACGCGAAATTCGTCGGCTCGTTACGACTTCCTTTTAGAATTCTAGCGGCTTCCGGTCAGTTCTTTCTTTCCGTCTACTATATCGTTCGAGACTAGCGTTCAAATCTGTTAACACGTCCATTAAATTAAAAGCATAACAAAAAATAAGAGAAGTTTGAATCGTGATTTACAGTTTCTGCTCGAGTGCAATTCGGATCTACAAAAAGTCTCTGTAGTGTTTCTCCGTAAAACAAGCTAGAGTTAAAAGTTACGCACGCGGGAAGCTCGCTCGTTGCGTACGAAGATTGACACTTTATTCTAGTAAAGAAAAAAAACAGAATAGATATTTCCCCTGCGATAAAAGAAAAATAGTAAAAAAAATTCACTTTACAGAAACAATAAACTTTCGCTCGGAATCGTGAGACACGCAGGAACGTTGAAAGTCCAATCGGGAACACATAATCGAATTTTCTTGAAAGAACACGCAAAACGAAGTTTAAATATCGACGTTGATCAGTATACATATGTCTGTGACGGTTTACGCTGTTTAAGAGGAAACGGAAAGAGAAGAGAAGCAAGACTGGAAGCGGAAGGGTAGTTCAGAGTCAAAAGGGCGCATGTACAATTCGTTCAATGTAATATTAGGGCGCGAGTAATGGTCTTTAATTACGTGGGTGCAAATCAATCGCGTTGACTTGCACCGTGTGCACGTGAACGCGTTGTTTAGGCTGAAGTTGCTTTAACCGGCGCTCCTCGGAGAGTGTAACTCCAATTAAGAATGGTTGGAAGGTCCAATGAGAACAAAAACTAATGAATAAAGTCACGAGAACTGTCGACGAAGGATAATCGTTTTATACGATGAGCCACTTGGAAATCGATTCTCGATTCGAGTATAGATTTTCTAGTGGACTCTTCGTACATTCTGATGCCGTGCCTCGGCGTTAGGTTCGGGTTAGGTAAAAATGTCGCGAAACGACTGTCCTTGTAACGAGCCCCGAGGCTTTCGCAATAAAATATTGTTGGCCGTGATACGATGTGGTTTCGAAAGTATAGTATATTTTGTATGTACAGAGAGGAGACGCGGACAAGAATTTGTGGTGCTACGATTGCGTTGTACATACGCCACTGTCGGTTTGACTCGATGATCGTGACTTTTTCACTGATTATACATAGCACGCTACACGCGACAACACGGGAATATGTTTTCACGTGAACAGATTGGAAATATCGGTATCCTGCTAATGCTTCCTGTAATACATTCGAATAGACGTCATATGAAAATATTATAATTTCAGGAAGTTAGAGATTCGTATCGATTGTAATGTCACAAGCCGATCACAATTTAGAATTAGGATCAACTGTGTAGCAAGACACATATAAATAATTGCATGTGCGAATATTCTTTAAAAAAAAAACGCGACTGAATGTCTTTTCACTCACAGTTTAGATCCTTCTTTTGGCAAAATCGATTATGTTAATTGCCAATGCATCTCGAGTGGAAAAATAAAAATGCTGAACTGCTTTTCGTCAGACCGTCCTGTATAATAAATACGATCGTCGATTCGAATCAACCGGCGTCGCTCCGAGGACGGACCATCGCGTCGTCCTGTTGTCGCCTGTGTGTACGTCAGTTCTATTAAACGTGTTCCATTTTTGACGTGCTTTCACACGTGTCTGTTCCACGTGGTGCGGGCGCACGTTTCCGGAAAAAAGAACGAGGCCGTGCACCCACGTCCTCGGTCAATTTTTTCTTTTCGCGGCTGGTTCGTTGGATCAAAGGTTTTTCCCTGTGTACATTATCTCTATTATTCCCTTGTGCGATTGTTTTCGATTGCAGGACAAACGAGAGAGAGAGAGAGAGAGAGAGAGAGAGGAAAGAGGAAAGATTAAGGGGGGGAATGAGAGAAACGAGCTACTCAATTCGTTTTTCCTAGAGTGAATTCTATTTCGTTGTTATTGCGGTGAAATCATCGCGTGTTGAGAAACGAGAAAACAAGATGATGTATACTTGATACTATTGCTTTGCTATTAATCGAATTAATAATTCGTCTAATCGTATGACGAGTATCGTTTTTGATGAGAGGAGAAAGCGGAACAAGTATGTGGCTGTATGCGTTTGCGTGTGAATTTAAAATTGAAAGCGAAGAGCAACGAATGTTTCCGAGAAAGAGAGAAAGCGAAAGATAGAGAGAAAGAGCGATGAACAGAATGAAGTGTATGCGCGAGCTGCGGTCATTTGGTGACGGAATTGAGGCGATTAATTAACGAGATGTTGTAAATTGTTCTATAGCAAAAATGAAAAGTGCTACTGCCGTAGCAGCGCGTTTCTCGAGAGTACCTCGACGATTGCCGACACGTTCTTGCTCCTTTCGAGTTCAACGCGACGAAGTTCTAAATAAGTATGCGCTTGACCAGAGACGGCAGAAATATTCGAATGATTGGTCGATCAGTCTCAACTCGTCGTCCACAAATCTCGAGGGACGCGATACTCTGATCGTTTCGATGTTGATATGTCAATGCTGTGATGTTATCCTTTGAAAACTTCGAACAAGAAGTAATAAAAAGAAGTATTTTCCCCTCCCGTTCTCCCCTACCTCCCCGATTGCCCTTCGACGCGGCCCACTCCTGTTTTACCAAACGAAATCACCCCCGCAAGACGAATCCCCCCACTCCTCGAAAAAATGAATTTCTATTACTGTAACACTCCGCATAGCCCTTGAAACAAAAAAATAACTAGATTCTAATCGTATTTAATGTAAAGTTTATTATTGTTACATCTCAGTGAATCTCTCCTCTATCAGTGATCTCACGGAGAGAACGACGACGTGCCGACGACGAGAGCGCGTTCAATGTTATAATGCCGAAGGTTTCAGGGGAGGAAGAGGCGTCACTACACGTTGTGTATGAATTAGGGGAATCCTGAAAGTATAGCGATCGATAATCGACCAACCGTTATGCTCGTGTCTCTCCGATACGTCACTGGTACCCAAAATTCCTACATTTGTCGCATTTGTAAATAAAATTTTTATCATCATACGATGTAACCTGTTGTCATTTCAATTTAATAACCCGAGTGTCCATACTACGCAACTGAGCTTTCACACTTAATTTATTAGAATATGAGGATAAAGGTGAAAGTTCATTAAATCTAGACACGTGAAATGATAATCTTTTCTTTAGTGAATTATACGATACAAAAGTATATTTACAAATCTACCATATCGTTCGGAATAATACATACAATACAAGGTTCATTGTACTCGTTATAAGTTGCGTGAGTCTCGTGATTGTCCGTCCGCAATCTCGAAGCGATTTGTGACAATCAAAGTGACAACAAAAAGGAAAAAATAGGCTTATCGACACACGATTCGATTTCTGATTTTTAAATTGTGACGATTCTTTGGCAATCGATATAACATCCGACGCTAGCAAAATACAATGAAAAAAAGGGGCAGACAAGGGGATTATCTATTTGCAATTATAAAAAATACACACAGTCAAAAAGTAACGTTGATAAGAACATGTCTCTGGTTTCTAGCAATGGTTACATCAAAGCAGGTATATTCGATATTTTTGTACGAGAGCAATGACGTGCACGTGTGTAAATACAGGATTGTCAATACCTATTTAAACTCACGAATGACTGTTAATTACCAAGATTACCAAATTCGTCGTTTATTGAAATATTTACACGAATACTATATGAATCCTGTTCAACTTGAATTGCACGACCAAAATGGTACAGGATTTTGTCAATAAGTTAAAATTTCACTTTCGTTCCCTTAGATGCTATACAATTGCAAATAAATAATGCGGGTGAAGGTCGCAATTTTTCTTTGAGTAAATGCAATTCGCAACGTAGCTATAAATATACGACGTTAAGCCTACGGGACTACTTTGTACCATTCGAACATTGCTTTACAAAATTGTATAAAAATTTTCTGTAAAAGTATTAACATCGATTTTTAAATATTTTTGCGGCGACGCATAAATAAGTCCCGAAGGATTAATCGATATTCGATTTTCTTATCATATACATATTACCTTAACACAAAACATTTATACATATACGACTGACTATACTACTAAATAGTACGTTAATACTAAATAGTGTAACTATCGTTTACCTTTGGTACAATTCTCGCTATTGACTATAAATTATGAATTCTCTTTGTTCCGTCTAATCAACGTGATATTATCAAAACACAGCGGATCGTGCATGCTCTACAATCTACCTTCGTCATAAATAATCTCAAACTTAGAGAATTAATCCATACAAGTAACCCTTCGACAAGCATGTAAAAGAAATTCACGATCTACCTCTAAAACTTCCTCAATTTTCTATTTTTCTGCTGACGATGAATAATTCTGACAATAATTGTTCAAGCATCAAATACTGCATAATGCGTTGAAACGAAGCTGCAGCTATGAATCGATTATCTCAGAAGATCTAACGTTCCTCTACTTCCCTAGCGCAAGTCTTGTCATCTTTACTAAATTAGTGGTTGCGTTCATATGAACAAGTAATTTTCATAGTCCGCGTACGAAGACGCTGTGATGTGTTTCGAGGAGATCGGCGTCGAGGGCACGCTCTGTGGCAGTTGTTGCACTCGCGGAAGTTGAGTCGCATGTGGTACTACGATTCTCGCTTGTTGATTCAAAGAACCCATTGACAGATGATGCTGATCGATATTATGAACGTTGTTGTTATTGATCGAACTCGCGTCTTTCGACTGGTACAAAGACGGATGATTGTTGTTGTCTGCACTCTGGAAATGGTGGGCCTGATGGTTCCCGTGAAGGCTCAGTCTTGACATCGCCACGCTGATGCTCGAGTCCGACGCCCACATGCTCTGCGAACAAGACGATTGTGTAACGAATTTGACTTTCTATTATATCCTTCTGAATAATGCCGCATCGCGCTGGTTGACGCACCGCCTCGAGATCTGTCCGCGCGCGCGTAATTACGCTCAGCCATCTTGGAGCAAGTACAAGATGAGGAATTCCTTTGTGTTTCGACCGTGAGAACATGTATCCGTTTTGTTTCTTTCAAATGATTTTTCATATAAACAATTTCTTTTTATTACTACTATGGAGTAATCAACGTATAACATTGATCAGTTCGTATTATGAAATAGTCTCTTATTTATTAAGTATAGAGAGAATGAAACTCTGATTAAGACGGGGAATATTTGGTAACGATCTTAAAAAATATGAAACTGGTAATACAGTTTCTCAGTTGATTCTCAATTATATTCAGGAAATTAACCGACAATTGATATTTCGTTTACTTATAATTATAATGCTTTTCTTACTTTTCTTCTATGAGGATTGTAATCAGGATTGCGTCTTATGCGGAGATGACGATCGGTGCTCGTCCATCGTTGCGTGACTTTAAGGGGTGAGTCGTCTGGGTGCAACTTCCTTTGGTATTCCTCGCCTTCGCAGACTTCGTACAGCGAGAACTGCTCAACGCGCTCCTTCGAGCTATAGCAGCTCAATAACATCTGGATCAATTCGTCCACAGTAGTCTGTTCCGAGACTAACAGACTCTTATACTTACGATTTAATTACAAGCGAAAATTACGCGGGAGTGTGCGTAACTTACCCCGGACATGAGCGCGCTGTCGTGTATTTTGACAAGCCCACCACGATGCGTCTGCAAGGAGAATCTGCAACAAGAAAACATCCGTGAATCTCGGAGCACGTCGCATGCGCCGGTGAGTTGAAAGAGAATCAGAGAACACTACTTCTACGTAAAAACACGGGTCTCGAACGTTCAGTTAAACACTGTCTACGCAACGTACACCTTCGCCGGAAGTTTCGAGCTACCAAGAAAACATTGCTAACAGCCAGCCTTTTCTTCCGCCGCATGGCAGAAACTTTGACACTTCGAAATCAAACATTTCTTCCTGCCATTTATACACTTTTTCCAAAAAAAATGCCAATACTGAGTAATTTGATTTAATTAACTATTCAAGACATGCTCTACTTATTTAAAGTAGTTTTATACCATTATACTAGATTGCTAGGTACCATCTTCTTTTTGTATTGGCTATCTTTTTAATAACTACCCCAAGAGAAGTCAGAATAAAGTAGCTAGTGGTTATCGATTAAAAATGCTACCGAGACGACATGATAGAACACGCGTCCCTCCGTTCCATTCTTTAGATTATTAGCATAAATAAAGGCACGCCTTGCGCGCGGTCGAGCCAAACGGCCCGAAGAAGCCAGAACAAAGGGAATCTCTCGAAAGGACGTTGCTCGTAGTTGGCTCGTGCTCGTCGACCCACAAGAAGTCGTATTTACGGTCGGTCGCGAGCCCTGAAATTACGTCACGAAGCCGACCAAAACCGAGGGGGAGACGCTTGGATTCGAAGCGGTCGGAGACGTACCTGGAATCGCCACGAGGATGACACGATTGCAAAACGGCAGGCCTCGCGTCCTCGTCCAGGGGTAGCACGGTCCTCACGTTCGGTCTTCTCACAGTGACCTCCATGGTGAGGTAGAATAGCCTTGGATCGCGATGCCTCATACGATACTTGTTCAATAAGTTCTGGACGATCTCACGGCATGTCGTTTCGTACGTGATGCTCAGAGTTTTGTACTCGATGTCCGGCCGCAGACATTTCGCGTACACCTTTATGGTTGTCTGTAAAAAAAACAACAGTGTCTCATTACAGAAATATCCTAGTTTAATGCTTAGAAAAATATCCCGAAAGTCATAACAGTTTCCAGCTTAGGGTTTAAGGAACGGGTTATTCTAAGAACGAATAGGAAGTTTCCTTAAACGAATCTGTGGCGCAGGAAGGAAAGGAGTCGAAAAAACGGCGTCCTGTTGTCGCAGGAGGAGCAATAAAAAAAGATGGGTAAAAAGTCGACCCGACAAGAGCCTCGACAATTAGCCCATAATTAACCGGGAGACAGACGTTGGCCACGCGCGACGCATAAAACGCTATCAACCCTTCAGATACCCGGACTACGAGGGGATGTGCGTACTGAAAATAAACCAGGCAAGACACCAGATCACCCCGTTCGCAGATGAGTTAAAGTCGTGTCGCGTGTGTATTCATGTGTCAAGATTAGAGCCGCGTTCGTGCAGCGGTAGTTCATAAAATTAAATGCTATTCTAATTTTGTAATAGTTTGTTTATCAATTAAATCTTTCAGATAATAATTACATTCTTCGAATATACATAGCTAACAAGTTTCCTTTTTGTTCTGTCAACTAGTAATTCTAAACGTGTACAGACATATAATTAAGATGGGTAGGGATTAAAATAACTATTACTAATTATAGTCATCCGAAGTCCGAGAGAGGTCTGTCGATACACCAGATGTTACGCGTCGAAGATTTGGCCCACACGTTCGCAAGTACCACTCAACGTTTGGGAAACACGTGTAGGCAGATTTAATGTCCGCCGCGCCACGCTTTATTTCCAACTGTGACGACTTTCGCTGAACGTGCTCCGAATAAAAGAATGCCACCGATCAAATCGGGATCACGTGTCGGTGGACAATGAATTTCGCCCAGATAGAATCTACACATGAGCTAAACGCAATTCCCAATTGGATTTTCGCTAAGCTACGAGCCGTACACGACGAGCACGTTCTCTCGGAATTATCCTATTCACGAATATCATTTTATATCGTTAATACGTCCCCTTCATGATGAACATTTGATGCCTAAATTAAATTAAGCAACATGAATAGAGATTATACTAGCATAATTCGCGTCTGAATGAGTACGAAATTATTCCATGACAATTACTAAGCACTTGGTCAAATATTTTTTTAAAATAATACGTTCACTGACTCGTTAAATTAATTAAAACAACTAAATGAATAATAAAATGAGAAAATGATCAAATATTATAATAGGGAGGTCATCATAATTTTTCGAATAATAATTAAAATGTTTGTCATCGCAATAATTGTAGTAAATAATGAATAAGATGAGAGAGAAAAGTAAAAAATAGATGTATTTTCTGAAAAATTGTCTGATATTATTCTGTATTCTAAAGTAGCTCTGGCAAACTGTGCTTATCTAGAGAACCGAATTCCTTCTCAAAGTTTCGATATTTCAATTTCGGTATCAAGATGTAGCACTAGATTCGTAGTTGTATTTGCGTTTCAGCTAAACAAACAGCGGGGTTCTAGGTACGCCTTCGCAGTGGAATTCTTACTGGCATTTTACGAGAACCGAGAATCGATGGAGAGTCGGCCTGCTCCGTTCTAACTAGACCTAACAAAAGCACGTGTACACACCGTTCGTGTTAAACCATTCGCTTTTTTTTAGAACAGTTAGATATACCATGCATTTAAAATAAGTCTATCTTACAACTGTTTTGCAACGTCCACTTCAGTACAAACTATTTTATTTCAGTAGTTTATCAAAAAACGATATCGGAAAGTCACAGAGGAAATGATTAATATAACAAATACATGTATGTTATTTCTGCTCACAAATTCTTGTTATCTCTTTCAATTGTTTAATAACACTTTAGTACTCTTATACTTCTGGTAGGCTTTATCTTCTTGATAATATTTCCTCTGAATCTGTTTTCGTAAAAACTGAAGGAATGATTGTACGTACGTATCCATAGTGGCGACGCGGAGATATAGCGAGATTTCTGATTCATCGCAGAAATACCAATACGCTTACGCGCTGCCATTAATGCGGTTTACGCGGAATTCTCAGGTGCTCGTGCACCGAGGTATCGATCTTTGTTCGACTTTTTCCTCTCCTTGAACGTGGCTGCCACTTGTGGCAGTTTCTTGTTCGATGACTCCAAATTCCTCCTGCAACATCAACTTCCCGGAACTTTGGTGATGTGTAATTTGAAATCTTGTCTTCGCTTTCTTTCTGGCCAAACGCAGTCTCATTGTCAGGAATCGTAGCGGGTCACCGAGCTATTCTATGTATAATCAATTTAGAAAACTTCACAAAGCGGTCCCTAGCAGTAAAGTTTATGACCCTATTCTGCACTGTTAGGCCAACTAAACTAAATAGTCGGTATTTTCCGCCCTTTTTTACACATCTGCTTACCAGATTTTACCTTCCCTTTTGTCTTTCCATCATGCTTCGTTAAATTCGAAACGCTTTCTAAATTTATTGCCTGCTATGGTCATTCTTCGAGGGCTCGGAGAGTCCCGCACGCGTCACTCAAGGCCGATACCTTCGAGTAACCGCCAACTCAGGACGTTTACCTTTCTGCTCATCGAACTTTGACAAATCCAGTCATCCATTCCATAACTTGTTAATTGCCAATCATGCTCACCTCGTCACTTTACATTCTTTTGATATTTCCACTAGATATCTTACAAGCTATTAGTATCTAACAAATTCTATCAAAACATTTTCACATGTGTATACTATGATAGTTATAATTAACTCTAATGTCAAATCACTCATGATAAAGATCAAATATGTTCATTATCTCGCATCCTTTCAAGAGCAGACAAGTTACTCCAATGACATTTTTGCGGCGTAACCAGGTTGATCGTGTTGTATTTATATAACGGTACGGTTAAAGTGGTACATTCCTGGCGAACTCGAACCATCGATGACGATCCAGGGAGGAGCCGTCTACGGTCAATCGGCGGAGCGTTTCCCTAGCGGCTAACGAAAGAGAAAATAATGCAGAAAAGGCACCCATATACATATAGACGACCGCGTACAAGTGTCAAAGGGAGGGTCTGCGGCTCGTCAGCAGTCGCTTTGGGAAGGAGAGTTGCCACCCCGGGACATCAATATCTTCCAGCCTGTTATGTGAGCACCGAAATACACGTTAGGATATTTCGGGGAAGGTGTCCATTTGGGTTAACAATATCGTCTCAGCAAACGTAACCGCATGGAGACCATTACATCATGAAAAATATAAAAAAGCCATTTTTGTGAACGCTATGTATCTATTGAAGAATATTAAATCGATTTACTTATTGTCTACTTTAATCTAAGAAAGTGAGACATGATGTAATAACTCACTCGAACCAATTAACGTGGAATTTCAGTAAATGAATTAGAACATTTTTTGGTAATTGAATTTTCTATGTAACTGAATAACTCGGCACGGAAGACAGAAGAATTAACGGTTCCCCTTTGAGAAGCCGAAGAAAATGTCTATGTAAACGAGTCGTTCTGATGGGAAGGTTAACAGGCAGGAATTTAACGAGGAGGAAGTTCAACCCGCGTTAAATGAAAATCCACTGGATATGTAATCTGGCGTAGCGGGACGAGAGTAAGTAAAAAAATTTAGGGAACGAACTCGAGGGTGAGCATTCGACTGGAATGAAAGTCGCCATATGCTGGCAAAGTGTCTTATAATGAAGGGTGCTTCCTTAACAGGAATTCATAAAGCCCTATAAACCCTCCGTGCTTCGAAGAATGCGTTTCGAGGCACTTCCAGGTTTTCGATCAGCGAAATCACCGTTCAAGGGAATCTCCGTATTGCTTCGTTTTAATTCAGAGAGTATTTCCGTGAATTCTATGGTGAATTTCCACGTACGCGAATTTAGCTGACTCATCGGTGTTACTATAAATAGGTACGGTGGTATCGACGGCTTATCGTTATCACTGTAGATGTAGGACGTCAATATGTCGAGTGTTCCACCCGGTATGTCTCGCGTAACCCCTTTTCGAGGCAAGGAAAACGACACCTTTCAACGGAAATGTTGTTGCACGACCTTGCCGTTATTTTAATCAAGTAATAAATTCATGTATAATTATCGCCTATGAAAAACCTAGCCACTTATGAACGTTCACCGCATTTATTATAATAAAAAGAAAATTTAGACGATTAATTATGGCAAAGAAGGTGACATTTATTTTCATCTTCGAGCAATCGGAATGACGGGCCGATCCTTTGAAAATAGCAAGAGATCGGAAAAAACAGCGCACTTTATAATTAGAGCGAGAACAAAATCATGCAAGGCTGGTTTGAGAATCGTCTAGAATTTCTTCGCGCCTACTGTCCCACGCCAATGAAACCAGTCAACGCATTGTAATATTTTCAGCTCTCCTCTTTTGTTGCTCATATGTCATGTCTACTTTATTGCAATGAGCTTCATTGTACGCACTTCTATAAAGCCAGGACCGAACTCTTCATTAAAATAATTTGTTATGGCAAAAGGCAAAATATCACGACAAAAACTTCTAAATTTTCCCCTTTCGTCGCATAGAATTCGACAACGAAGGATTCATTAATTTTCATGCGAGCCCACGTAGACTGCCACGCGGTACACAACCTCGGGTTGAATGGTGGCAGTATCACCGAAAGGTGTCCCAGGTAGGAGACCCCCGCATAATAAATTCCTTATCCCAGAAGTCTATTGAATCTCGAACGACGGTCCTTCCCTTACCCCGTTCTCTCAACTGGCACGTGCTTTTCGACTCTCAGCTGCCGCGTCCTCTCACAGAGTTTTCAGGTGCTGTTGCCGTTCAAGCACGTGTCCCCTCTCTGATTTCCGGCCAGTGAAAAAAAAAATGGAAAACGAAGACGAAGGAGGATCGCCTGGCGACGCTTAGAACAAAAACTCGCCCCCGGACGCGACACGAGGAATTCGTATCCTTCGCCTCGTCTCCTCGCTCCTCCGAAGCCACGAAACGATCGTTCTGCACGGTTGCACCGACTTCGACGACGGAAATCGAGGT